CCCTGGTGGCACAGTGGTTAAGAATCCGCCTGCCAATGCAGGGGACATGGGTTCGAGCCCTGGTCCGGGAAGATCCCACATGCCGCGGAGCAACTAAGCCTGTGCACCAAAACTACTGAGCTTGCGCTCTAGAGCCCGTGAGCTACAACTACTGAAGCCCGCGCACCTTGAGCCCGTGCTCCACCACAAGAGAAGCCACTGCAGTGAGAAGCCCGCGCACTGCAACAAAGAGCAGCCCCCTCTCGCCGCAACTAGAGAAGGCCCGTGCACAGCAATGAAGACCCAATGCAGCTAAAAATAAATAAATAAAATAAAATAAATAAATTTATATATAAAAAAAGATATTATGTGCCTTCAAAATCTTGCTCCATCCTATCCACAGGGATCAAATCTGGATCCAGTCTTTGGATTCAGCTGCCAATTTGCAGGAAATACAAAGGAAAAAGGAAAATACTGAACTGCAACATGAATATACAACCCAGATAATCCAGGCTGTGGGAAACTCTTCAGGTCAATTAGCTTGGAGTCCTCAACAGATAAACAGTAAGAAAAAGAAAGAGATAAAAAGGGAACCTATGGACTTAAAAGACACATCAAGTTGTTTTTTCTTAATAGGTAAAACTAAACTGTGGTGTCTAGGGATGTACCTTTGGATGTAAACTATTTTAAAAAAACACAAGAAAGTGGCTACTATAAAAGTTAGGATAGGGCTTCCTTGGTGGCACAATGGTTGAGAGTCCGCCTGCCAACGCAGGGGACATGGGTTCGTGCCCCAGTCCGGGAAGATCCCACATGCCGCGGAGCAGCTAAGCCCGTGAGCTATGGCTGCTGAGACTGCGTGTCCGGAGCCTGTGCTCCGCAACAGGAGAGGCCACAACAGTGAGAGGCCTGCATACCGCAAAAAAAAAAAAGAAAAAAAAGTTAGGATAGGGAAGGGAATTCCCTGGTGGTCCAGTAGTTAGGGCTCCGCACTTCCACTGCAGGGGGCATGCGTTCGAATCCTGGCTGGGGAACCAGGATCCCGCATGGCCAAAAAAAAAAAAAAGTTAGAATAATGGTTACCTATGGGGGGAGGGAGAGAGCGATGATTGAACTGGAACACATGGAAGGGGTTTTAGGGGTGCATGGCAGAGTTCTATTTCTTGATCTGGATTGTAATCACTTTATGAAAATTTACCAAGCCATACCTTTGTTTTGTATGGTTTTTGTGTATGTGTTTTACATTACAATGAAAAGATCCATCACATAAGCGAACAAACAAATAAATGGGGAACATGTTACTCTCCAGCTTAAAACTCTCCAACGGCTTCCCACTGCAACTAAAATCAAATTTAAACTTCTAACTATGGCTTAGAAAGCATTACATGATATGGTTCCTGCCTATGTACCTACTTTATCTCCTCCACTCTCCACTCTGCTCTAGACACACTGGCATTCTTGCTCTTCTTCACATCAACCAAATTAATTTCTCTACCAGGGCCTTTGCACCATTGTTCCGTCTATCTAAGACACTCATCCCCCAGATCTCTGGGTACCTCCCTTCATCATTTCACTGTGGTTTCAAACATCACTTCAGAGAGGCTTTCCTTGACCAATGTATTTAAAACGGCTTCCTACCTCCTCACTACTCATTCTCAATATCCTTATTCTGTTTTATTTCTTTTTTTTTTTTTTTTGCGGTACGCGGGCCTCTCACTGTTGTAGCCTCTCCTGTTGCGGAACACAGGCTCCGGACATGCAGGCTCAGCGGCCATGGCTCACGGGCCCAGCCGCTCCGCGGCATGTGGGATCTTCCCGGATCGGGGCACGAACCCACGTCCCCTGCATCGGCAGGCGGACTCTCAACCACTGCGCCACCAGGGAAGCCCTGCTTAATTTCTTATTTACATTTGACTACTTGTTATCTTCTGTGTACTCCATGAGACTATAAGCTCACGAGGGCAGAGACTTGATCTGTTTGATAATGCTTTATCTCCAACCTCTAGAACAACATCTGACACATAGTAGTACAAAATAAATATTTTTAAGTGGATGAATGAACTAATGAATTCCCTATACTGCTTCTCAGAGTTTTCCAACACAGAGGGTTAGGGAGAGTTTCCTAGCCTCTTTCTCTGGGCTTACATTCAATGTTAAAAATGTATGTTCTGGACACCTAATAAAAATGTCACTAAGTGACTCTTCCACTACCACATACCCTATGCGTAGTTATACTTTATTCTTTGTTTACCAAAAAACAAACAGCATTCCAACAGAGATGACTGCCCTCCTTTAATGGACTTCCATGCAAAGACAGGGGTTTACTGAGTCATGCACCACCAAAGTTTTCATCATTTACGTAGTTTTCCTTTGAGTATCTTTCCTTTCATAACTGGTCACACCCAAACTTAACCAATAAGTCCTACTAAGTGCCTGATCTAAAGGAAAAGGGGAAGTCAGAAGAGACATAAATAATCCTGAGGTTCTTTTCTCCTGTTTTTCCCGTAGGGTAAGCTCAGAAGGACCATAACAATGATTATAGATATGTCTAGTCAAGGAAAAAACCCAAGTTCACAAAAATAGAAAGAATATGAAAAAAACCCAGGTACTTAGATGGGTCAATAATCCATAGGGTGGACATCAGCAGCACCTATAACCTGCAAAAATGAGAACAAAATACAAAAAGATGAAGGGAAGAGGAAAAGGGATGTAAGAGAAAAGCAAAGAAAAAAAAAAGAAAAGAAAAGTAAACAGGCCCTCACACATTCCTAATTCTTCCAGTCTCATCAGACCAATTTTAGGTTGAGCCAAATACGTACCTCTGAATGGACTTGAGGACACGGCGAGGAGGAAGGGTAAGCTGGGACGAAGTGAGAGAGTGGCATGGACATATATACACTACCAAATGTAAAATAGATAGCTAGTGGGAAGCAGCCGCATAGCACAGGGAGATCAGCTTGGTGCTTTGTGACCACCTAGAGGGATGGGATAGGGAAGGTGGGAGGGAGAGGCAAGAGGGAGGAGATAATGGGGATATATGTATATGTATAGCTGATTCACTTTGTTGTACAGCAGAAACTAACACACCACTGTAAAGCAATTATACTCCAATAAAGATGTTAAAAAAAAAACAAATACGTACCTCTGCATCTGAACAGTGGAGCTTGGCCCATTCTGTACATCTCCTTGTCCAAACTGGCCATATGCAGTCTGGCCACAAGGGCCCTGTGCTGTCGAGGCTGGAGGTGCCCCTGAAGAAGGTGGGGCTCTTGAAACACCTGAGGGTAAAGAAGAGAAACTAAGCAATTGGGAAATAACTTTCTCCTCCACCCTGAGCAAGGAATGCAAAGCAAGAATCAATAAGCTCAGACCTTTACTGCAATATCACAAGCATAATACCATAGCTTGGTAATGAAAAGGACACCATCAACATGCAACTCCAGCTACAGGAGATTCTGAACATGGATGCCCAGCCAGAGAGCCTCTACTCTCCTAGACAGGTATACTACAGGTCAAGCTGTAGCCAGAGCCACAAAAATGTAGGGCCTTCCTATGATCACCATACACTCTCACTCAATCCAGGACAGTCTAACGTTCTTACCCTAGACAAAACGTCAACTCTTTTAAGGAAAAGATCTGGGGCTTCCCTGGTGGCACAGTGGTTAAGAATCCGCCTGCCAATGCAGGGGACACAGGTTCGAGCCCTGATCCAGGATGATCCCACATGCTGTGGAGCAACTAAGCCCGTGAGCCACAACTACCGAGCCTGTGCTCTAGAGCCGTCAAGCCACAACTACTGAAGCCCATGCGCCTAGAGCCCGTGCTCTGCAACAAAAGAAGCCACCGCAATGAGAAGCCCGCGCACTGCAATGAAGAGTAGCCCCTGCTCACCGCAACTAGAGAAAGCCTGAGTGCAGCAACAAAGACCCAACACAGCCAAAAATAAATAAATAAATAAACAATTTTTTTTTTAAAAAAGGAAAGGATCCCACTCCAGAACTCAGAAACTTAGAGCATACTTGAGAAAGGTGGCACAGAAGGTGACCAAGTAACATTCTAAACTAGGTTGTAAAGAAAGGCACCTCTTAGAAAGACTATTCAGGACATCCCTGGTGGTCCAGTGGGTAAGACTCTGTGCTCCCAATGCAGGGGGCCTGGGTTTGATCCCTGTTCGGGGAACTAGATCCCACATGCATGCCGCAACTAAGAGTCCGCAAGCCACAACTAAACATGCCACAATGAAGATCCTGCATGCCGCAACTAAGACACGGCGCAGCCAAAATAAATAAATAAATATTAGGAAGACTATTCTGCCAACCTCTTCTTCATATATTCTACTTATCCTACGCATCTTCTTTTCAGCCATTTCTAAGTGTTGGCACTCCCAATAGCACATGGCTCAGGAAAGTATTCCCACGGGTTGGAGAATTTGTTCCTGCCTAACTGTTCAGTCAGGACAGGTCACCTGCCCTCCAATTACTGCTGTCACTATGTCATCACAAAAGCTGTACTCCATCCTTTCTGCTCATCAGAGCTGCCATCAAAGCTACTTCTACTCCCCCCAAGCATCCTTCCCACATGAGATGCAGGAAGAAAGCAATTAGTTACTTGGCATATCACTTTGGAAATATTGCTGACCCCTGTTCAAACTATTGTTTTTTTGTTTTTCTTTTGCTCTGCCCCCAGTAGAGATTAGACACTATAGAACCTGCCTACAGGAATATGATTAATCTGAACCTGCTCACTAGCCATCAAAGAACCAGATATGTTTTCCTCTCAATAACAGAGCTTCCTCTTGGGGCAATGCCAAACTCCATCTTGATAAGCCAGGACTTGATAGATCAGAGGTGGACTCTGTCCAGCCAAAGTCCCATCCCAGAGTAAGGCTCTCCAAAGCCCTGAGACCTAATCTCACCACTTCGCAATTTTTTTTTCCAAAGTCATAATTTAAATGGTCATAACTTCAATCATTTCCCAAATCTTACCTATGCCTCCTTGGTGCCTTCTTTTTCCCATATCCCTTTATGGAATTTACTGTTTTAAAAAGCATAAAGCATTTGGTATACCTAAGTCCTTAGCTAGCCTAACCAAAGATCAAATGTCAACCATTTTCTAAAAAACCCCTATGAATAATATAATCTGTAGATTACCAGCTGCTCTTCATGAAAAAGTAACATAAAAGCCAAACACTGATCCTAAGGCAGCACCAGATTGGTTTCCTCTTATTTCCCTGATATTAGACAATATCTAAGAAGCCAAAGAAACTCAAACAAAGGAAAAGGAATGATATCAGCAGAAAGATATGAGAGGCACCAAAAATCAGGCACACAAACATCACACTTTTCATCCATGAACTAGTTCCCCAAGTCCCAGAGTCATTTATAGATAGAACTGAGTCCGATGAGAGGCATTATCAATATACATGAGAAACAAGTGATTTCAGAGAGACTTTAGGTCAACAGAAATAATTAATCCTAGTCACAGGCTCTGAACGAGCTGCGACCACAACCCTTCCATCCAGCTGTGAACAATGCAGCCAGGTGAGGCTGCACAGGGTGACACCCAAAGGAAGTGAACTGCCATTGAACCTGGAAGATGTGCTCCCACTAGATGTCTTAAGGCAGAGACACAGTCACCTTATAAAAAAACAGGGAAAGGTGGGAATTCCCTGGCAGTCCAGTGGTTAGGACTCGGCACTTTCACTGCTGTGGGCCTGGTTTCGATCCCTGGTCAGGGTGTTAAGATCCTACAAGCTGCGTGATGCGGCCAAAAGGGAAAAAAAAAACAGGGAAGGGCAGACTGCCCACAGGACTCTCAGTGACCAAGAGCCAGATTCATGTTCCTCCATCCCAGTCACCACAACCTTTTAGGCAGCTTAGGTAGGGCAATACAACCCAACCTGAAGACTACTAATTCCCCTCCTCAGCTCAAAGGAAGCTTGGAAACATACCTGGGGGAGGGGTTTGCTGATAGCCTGGTACTGGGCCATTGTAGGCTCCATAGGAAGTGGGGGCGGTTGTGGGCCCTGGTTGCCCACCATAGCTGGATTGATGATGCCCTAGGTAGACAGGCTGGGGCTGCCCAAATGGCGGCACAGGTGGAGCTGACTGGTTAACGTTCATTATGAGAGCATCCCCGACTTGGTCTCACCTATTAGATGAGAGAGAAGAGAGAAATTAGTCAAAATCAGTTTTCTAAAGAGAGAGCACTATTCACAGTAGGAAGTAGAAATAGAAAAGGACTGACCTTATCAGGCAGTGATCAGCCTAATCATTCTCACACTACTACAGGATCTTTGTAATTTTCTTCCCCAGACAGCAGACAGACTGCCTCCTCAAAGTAAGGATTTTGTTACTCTGAACCCTATGCTTTGTCACTGCCAAGAGGGTATAAATTTCAACCTCAGATAGGCCCATTGGAATGGAGCAGCAGCCTCCATTCCCCAGTGGTATGATTTCTAGTGTCTAGTCATACAAGAAGTCCTGCCACTGATAAACTATTGTGATATTACAGGTAAATGAAACAATGCTCCCACTTTCCATTCATTCACTCTAGCATCCATTCATTCCACAAAATTGAATACCCTCTAGTGTGCTAGTCGTTTTTAATCACCCAGACTACATGTCTAAAACAGATTGGCTAAATTCCCTCCCCCTCAAAAGACAAATTTTAGAGTAACCGGTTAGAAAAATGACATTCTTTGGCTAAACTGCAGTAAATCAAGTGCTACACCATCCCCAGTCTTCCCACCAAAAAAGTGTATGGACCTTAGAACTGAAGTATTAAAATCACTAAATGTAAAGGACAGCTCAAAACTCTAGCAAGGTATCAGATTAGAACTGAGTGCAGGCCTGGCACAAAAACTTCTCACAATAACCTAGGGAAACAGTTCAAAGATCAGTGGCAAAGTTAGATTTCATGGAAAAAGACCATTCACCTTATCCTTCTAGCAGAGGGGACTATAAGTATTCCAAATCCCAATGCACTTCTCCAACTCTCCTGTTTCTGCTCTTATATGCTTGTAATGAATCTAGGCCACCACCAAAATTATTACAATCTTGCCCAGCAACAAAGGAATAAATTGGAGAGCCTTTCCAAGGTCCTTCCAAGAACAGGACTATCTGATCACATCTACTCTTCATAGCCTGATCATTCCAACTCTCCTATAGACAGAAGGGACCCAGGAAGCATAAGAGCTCACAGCTACTGCAATGGAACAATGGGCCTCTCCCCTTTGCTAGGTAGGGCCATCTTGACTACAGAAAAGCTGAGCTGCTCTTGGACTAGAACTCTTTAAATTCAAAGCCATCTCAGGAGCTGTTCTTCCAAATCCTAAACCTCACACAGGTCACTACATTAAGCTTGACAGATGTCCTCCTCCTCTTATTTTTCTAAAGTCAGTGTGGGGGTGGGGATGGTAGGAAAGGAGCTTCTTCTCGAGGAAATAATCCCCTCAAACACACCCAAGAGTTTGGAGTCAGGCTCAAGTTTCAACTCCACTCTGGGTGGACAGTCGAGGGTGACAACCCAGGAGGCGGGGCAAGCTTCCTAGAACTCTGAAAGTAGTCGAGCTGTGGAGGCTGGGAGCGCTGGGGATCAAGACCGAGAAGCCAAGCCAGCTTCTCGGGCCGCGATGAGAGAGACTTCCACTGAGTAGGAGATCGAGCGTCTTGCGCCCTTCAACAGGCTCAGGGCAGGAAGCGGGAGCCGGAATCTGGGCCGGGAGAAGAGAAGGGAGGGTCTAGGACTGATTCTGGATTGTGGATGCATGAGGTGAGGGTCTCTCCCCGGGCCCCGCCCCCGGGCCCCTCCCTTCCTTCTCAGACAGGACCCCGATCTGGCCAGTGATACCCCGGCCTCTCCTCTGCTTTCCTACCCACCAACCTCCCGAAGCCACTCCTCACCCGGCTCCAGATCCAGGTTCGACTTCGTTCCTAACGTCAAGGCTCCCAGGCTCCACTTCCGGTTCCGAGGGGGCCGGCGCGTCGCCCCCGGAAGTTCCACCCCCACGCTCCAAGGCCACTCCTTCTGCCACGTCGGCAGTAAGTACGCGCCGAGGAACCCGGATGCCGCACATGCGCTACTTTCCCCTCTCGTCATGGCCGCCCCCTAGGGGCTCTGCAGTTTTTTATGCATTTCCGTTTTTGTTTTTGTTTTTGTTTTGCACAGATGTCCTGGTAACCTTATGGTCCCACTAGCTGAGATATGATTGAACTATGTTTAGTAACTCTCCTTCCTATGACATATTAGAAACCTCTGATTTAGAGTCCTGTAGCGATTTCCTGCTGACCCCTGGCCCCATTGATTTCCGTCTTGGAGGTTCTCACCCATGACCTTTGCCGGTCTTGAGATTTGAGGAGCGGGACGTACAATTTTTTTTAAATATAATTATTCTGATGTGATATATCTTTTTAAAATTTATTTATTTTGGCTGACCCATGGGGCTTGCAGGATCTTAGTTCCCTGACCAGGAATCCAACCCATGCACCGGGCAGTGGAAGTGCAGAGCCCTAACCATTGGACCACCAGGGAATTCCCTTAGAACCCTGTAACGTTAAAGGGCACTAATTCTGCTTTCTGGGGTCATGTGTTCAAGTTCTGGCTCTACAGTTCCCTAGCTAGGGCAACTTAATCTTGGCCTCAGTTTCTTTCATTTGTAAAATGAAGAGAATATGAATGCCCTTCTAAAAACTTGTTGAGAGTATGGGATTAGGCCACAAAGACTGCCTGACACCGTAGTAAGTGCTCAGTAAAGGTCACTCGTTATTAGTTAACCGTTTTTATAGAGCGCCTTGGTTTAGATGCAGAGCACTGCCACAGCCTGATAATCTCTACTCTTAGAATGCCCCCAGCCTTTTGGAAGAGCTACAGTTCCTGGAGTAATTATTATTACACCATTTAATAACAACAATATTGTAGCTAATATTTGTAGGAGTTTTTAAAATATACATAACCTCATTTAATCCTTTCAATAATCCTTTCATTTAATAATTATTTTTTAAGCATTGTTGTGTTCCAAGCCATGTTCTTGGGTCCAGGAATACAGTAGTGAACAAACAAAAGTTCTTCATCAATTTAAATAAGGTTTTGTAATTACATACACGTATGATAAAGCTATAAAGAAAAACAAAGTGGGAAGTCCCAGGCAGTCTAGCAGTTAGGACTCCACGCTTTCACTGCTGGAGGGCTTGGTTTCTGTCCCTGTCTGGCAACTAAGATCCTGCAAGCAGCCTGGCCTGGGGCCAAAAAAACAAGAAACAAACGAAAAAGCCCCAAAGTAACAAAATTCAGGCTGTTGGTTACCTCTGGGGAGGGAAAGAGAAAAGTATAATTGGGAGGAACATAATGGAGCATCAATAATATTAATAGTGCTCTATTTCTTAATATTCACATGGATATTTACATTATTGTTATTTTCAAATAGTTCATATGTATTATGTACAATTCATTTCAAAATAAAAGTTTTTTTTTAATAAGGAAGAAAAGAAATGGGGAAAAAGAGCACTGGTGTAAAGGAAGCATTTAAAGGGAAAAAAACATTAAATGAAGAATTTTATGACCCATGTGGGGAAAAGTTCTTGCTCTCATATTGTGCACAGTAAATTTTAGTTATTCTGAGGCACAAAGTGTTTCATTCATTGAAAAACTTGCACTTCTAGTCGTTGCTGGAATCTGTTATTAGGCATTGAGCACGTTTTAGTGAACAGGCAGATTTTTCCTGTCCTCAGGAGTTTATAGTGGAGGTCAGTGTTTCTCAAACTGTGATCCTGGGAGCAACAGTATCAGTTTCACCTGCGAAACCTGTTACAAATTGCAGACCCACCCTAGGCATATTGAATCAGAAATTCTGCAGGTGGGGCCCAGCAAGCTATGGCCCTCTAGACAATTCCATTGCATGCTGAAGATTGAGACCCACTAGTCTAGATTAGTAATTTGCGAAATTCAGCTAACATTTGTTGAGCAATTGCCATAAACTGGGGTCTCTGTGAAGTATTTTCGCATAATTTATCCCATTTAACACGTCAGCATAGGAAAGTAGGTATCCTCTGTTTTGCTTAATGTTGCACTCCTAGTAAGTAGTAGAGTTTAAATTCATAGTTTCTTGAGAATAGAGGCTGATACGTTGCATTTTATTGGTTTCTGTATCCCCACTCTGGTTCTCAATCTTGGCTGCGCATTAGAATCACCTGCAGTGCTTTTTAAACTGGCCATAGCAAAATAAATAAATAAATAAAAATAAAATGGCCATACCAGCTATTAGGCCAATAAAATTAGAATCCCTAAGGCTGAGGGGCCTGAGAGAGAGAGAGAGAGAGAGAGAGAGAGAGAGTGTGTGCGTGTGTGTATAAAGTATTTGTATAATGTATAATATTTGTATAATATATAAATTCATGTAATATGTAAAATGTCATTACCCATCATCTAATCATATACACAGTCCTATTTTAGGGAGCCAGTAGCTTTAAAAGTTTTCCAGGTGATTCCAACATGCACTTAATTGATTCCAATATGCAGGGTTAATTGAAAGCCACTGGTATAGCACAATGGCTTACATGTAGCTAGCACTCAATAAATGTTTGAATAGTGAATGAATGGATATTTAGATACTCTTTTCACTGATGAGGTCAAGTAACTGCCCAAGGTCATACAGCTAATAAATGATAGAACAAGAATCCAAGCCCAGTTCTGACTCTAAATTCCAAGTGCTTTTTATGACTACATCAAACACCAAGGCAAACAGCATTTAGCATGCTATCAGAGCAGCTATTCCAGGGACCTCTGTAGCCTTCAATAATTACAGCACCATAATATTATGTTTTTTAAAAGAAAGAGATCTCTTAACATAGGGCACATTCATGTAATGGAAACCTAAAAATAACTAAATATTTTATTATTAACATGGGTTGGCATGTTTATGCACACCTATCTCTACCCACCTTTCCATGACCAACTATGTGTTGTAAGAGGTAATTTATTTCACCAAACATTGAGCACCTGTTACATCAGTCATTGCTCTGGGGGCTGTTGATTGGCTTTTACACACAGTCCTTGCCTTCAAGTTTCTCACAATCTAGGAGGGAGACAGGCATATAAACAAACCGTAATATTGGCTGAAAACTACAATAATAGAAATACGAACAAGATACATATTTTGCCCAGAGGAAGGAAGGATTAATTCTATAGGTAGGGAGTGAGGAGATGGGCAGGAAAAGCTTTATGGAACAGGCAACACTTCAGCTGGAGCAGGCTGAACAGAGTTCCTCTACATTGCACCCAGCACTGCAGTGGGATATGGATCTCCACTTTGATTAATAGGTTAATTCATACAGCAAAGGGGTACTTTTTTTTGGGGGTCTTGCAATCTTGTGGGACAAACCCAGCCATTCCTTGCTCAGGAATTGAAGCCCCTGCTGCTGCCACTTTGGAATAAGCTTTGGAGGAGAGCAGTTGGGATTAGTCCATGACCCTATCAGGGAAGGCACAGTCCCTGAAAGGATGTACATTAGTTATAGAGCCCACAGAGCTAGTACTCTGAGTCCTGAGTAAAAGCCCATGCAGGAGAATGGGAGACAGGGGAGGGCAGAAGTTTTCACTATAATTAGCTCTGGGAGTAATACAGCTTGGGGAGGGAGGGGAGTACAGCCGGTAACTATTTTGAGCACAGCTTCGATTGACAGGACATGTGTGCTGGACTGTACTGATCTCAGGGCCAAGTTGCCTGCCTGTGGTGTGTGGTGTGGGGTGGAAGGCCTAGGGCAGCAGAAGCAGGACAGCCAGACAGGCCGGACGGGGTACCAGCACCTCGACTTCTCTCCCTGGGACACTGTCCAAACTCCGAAGGCCATAGGCCAAGCTGAGAGATGGGTGCTGAGGAGGAGGTGCTGGTCACACTGTCTGGGGGAGCCCCCTGGGGCTTCCGACTTCAGGGGGGGGCCGAGCAGAGGAAACCTTTACAGGTATCCAAGGTAAGGGAGCCTATATTGAGGTTTCAGGGAAAGGGGAACCCAAGGGAACTTGGGAAGAGTCATGTGGTGGCCTGTGGGGGGAGAAGTGGGAGGCTGTGAAGAAGTGGAGTGGGGGTGGGTAGATGGTCGAGGAAGCATGCTCAGATCTGACGGGGGGAGCAGTGTCTGAGCACAGCCTTCTTGTGGGGGGCTATTAGAAAAGGGAATTCCTGGTTTCTGGGAGCAGAGAAAAAGGAAGACTGTGCCTCAATTTCATAGAAGCAGAGGTCCAGGGCTGGCAACAGAGGCTCAGGGCTGGCCATCCAGTCTTTGCTCTCCTGGGTCTGTGCCTCTACTCCAAACTCCAGGAATGTAGGGAAGGTTGTCATTTCTCTCTAACTAAATTGGTATGTGATGATCTGAGGTTCTCACGCAGCCCAGCCCAGCCCAGCCCTGCCCTGCCCTGCCCCTGCCCCAGCCTTCAGTCCTCCTCTTTCACTATGCCAGATCCCTTCTCTCACTAGGCAAGACTTTTTTTAAGGCTAGGAGGGTTATGGCAAGATATGATCTGTCAGATGAAGTTGTTACCATTTTGGTTTCATAGCACAGGTTTAATTTTCTCAACTATAAAATGTAGGTAATGATAGTACCTACTCCGTAGGTGCTAACTTCTAAG